GTGGGGTGGGGCGGGGCGTGGGGTGTACCCGGGCGTGGCGGGTCCGTCGCGGCCCATTGGGCGTTGCAGCGAGCTTCATGACCGCACCGCCGCGGAAGTTATATACGCGCCGCTTTCAACCCACCAGCACCCGGACGACTGGCTGCGGACGGTCGCGGAATGGTCCCCAGCCCGGCGTTGAGGTCGCCCCGCCCGCACGCCGGGCGTGCCTTCGCATAAGGACCTGCTGCGCTGGCACCTGGCATGCAGGCCGTGCAGTGCGAGTGCCCCGAGCGGGCCGGGCCGCCTGATGAAGTGGTTACACCTGTTCCGTGGGAACCACCAACCAGCGCTCCGCCGCCCTCCTCGACCACTAATATTTGACCTTCCCCTTTTCCTTTCTAATCAGCCGCTTCTGTTTAGTGACGCGGGCAGCAGCAGCACCTCCCCACCGCCACCCTCCTCCCCTCCAGGAGGATATGTAGTTAGCGATAAGTAGGGTCGAAAAGGAGGGTCTGGCGAAAAGGAGGGTCGCGACGAGGAGGGTCGGCGAGGAGGGTCGGCGAAAAGAAGGGTCGGCGCAAACCACCGCGTATGCTTGTTTGAGCTCGCTCCTGTCCGATTTTTGGACACTTAGGCATCCGTTCACGTTCGCTATGAACTATGAACACCTGAAATGTGGACTGGAGCGAGCTCAAACAAGCATACGCGGCGGTTTGCGCCGACCCTTCTTTTCGCCGACCCTCCTCGCCGACCCTCCTCGTCGCGACCCTCCTTTTCGCCGGACCCTCCTTTTCAACCCTACTTATCGCTAACTACATATCCTCCAGGGCCTCCAGCCAGGGCCTCCAGGGCGGAGCGGCGCCGACGACTCGCTCCAGCTGTAATTACGCTGTGGGCGTGCGGCGTGCACATTGTTTTTAAACAGTCTGTGACAGTGGGGGCCTGGCTCAGCACCACCGGGGCTCAGCACCGCGCGGCTCAGTCAGCACCACCGAGCGGCTCAGCCGCGGCTCAGCCGCGCAGTGGGGTCCAGTCCGGCTGCATTCCGACCGGCCCGCGGCCCTCGCGCTTGCTGCCCACACCGAGACACACCACCTTCTCTCTCTCTCTCTCTCTCTCTCTCTCTCTCTCTCTCTCTCTCTCTCTCTCTCTCTCTCTCTCTCGCCGTGTTTGCCGTGGCGGCCTTTTCACACCGTCTCCAGTGAGACGGTCGCCGTGACAACGATGCGGTAATGAGCCCCCAGAGGGCAGCAGGATGGTCTATGTGTGTGTGCGGCCCAGGGCGTGGCGTGGCAGGGCGTGGCGGGGCAGGGCGTGGCGGTCCCTCTTCGTCTCTTGACGCGAGAGTTATGGGGAAATGTAATCATCTTCTCCTCCTCCTCCTCTGGCTCTGCGGCGCCGCCGTCCTCGCCGCGCCTCGCCCCGCCGCGCCCCGCGGTGAGTCGGTGAGCCGCTTGGCACGATTTGATCTGCCATGGAATGCTAATGTCGCCCCCGCCCGGCCCCACCCCGCCTGCTGCACTCTCCGCGACCTGTACTTTACGATGTTTATACACGGTCTGCTCACCCGCCTGCCTCACCAGCGCACGCCCGCCCGAATCGCCCGCCGTCCTGCTCACCGCGCCGCACCGCGCGCCACACAACGGCTCACCAGACGGCGACGCGCACCCCGCCCTGCTGGAGTCGCGAGCTGGATGATTGTGATTGTCCGGGCCGTGCAATCAAGAGTGCGTTTATCGTTGTTATTCATTTTCATTGAGGCGGGCGGGGTATGGCCTGGGCGACAGTAAAAACAAAGTGCGGCGCGACGGGCGACACCTTCCAGCGCACGGGCGCACGGCACAGACAGGGTCAGGCATGGGCGCGGCCGCACACACGGGCGCCCAGAGGGATAGCGTTCTACATGAATCGCGATTTGTGTAGGGTAAGATGCCCTATGATGGCCACCTTAAGAATGGGCCTGCTGCCCAATGATGGCCACCCCTTTTTCTTGTAATGTAGACAACGATGTAAAGTAGTTTGGCTTATTATGCCCAAGTAGGGACCTTACTAGAACACAACTACAAGGCCAAGATTGTAAAGTGACCAGACTGGCTGGAAATCGAGAAAAGTGGCCATCAATGGACAGTGGCCACATTAGGGCACCTTACCGTATTGTGTTTCGGAGGGTCGTTTCCATGAAAGTTCAGCCTCAGTTGCAGGTTCAGTATACGAAAATTCTGCAAAGCACTGCTTTTCATCACAAAGAAAATGGAAGTGTTAGTTGGGGGGCGGAAGTGAACTGGACCGGACGGCGGCAGTGGCTCCAGAGCTGAGCTGGCGTATGGCGGTCGTATGGGGGAGCTGCGGGGAAGCAGAACAGCGGGCAGGCAACACCCACACCGACCTGACTTGTGCTCCTAAGAGACGCGCTCCAACGAACAGTAGAAAATGATTCGACGGCTGCTCACTACGGGCCCGCCGCAGCTGAGCCGGCTGAGCTGCCCCAGCCTAGCCTCGGTTTATTGACCCGTCCGGCTCGGGAGGGCCCGACCAAGATCCATCCGACCAAGTGCACACCACTACGCCTTGGCTAGCGAGCGGACGCGAGCGGATGTGTGGTGGTGGTAGTGATAGTGGAGGTAGTGGTAGTGGTGGTGGAGGACACCGTTGAGCCGGGCCCCGGCCCAGCAGGGACAGCCAGGGACACCCTGCCCCGCGAGTGTGACTGTGTGTGTGTAACGCCAGGCCCTCTCTCTTTCTGTTCCAGGGCTCTCCAGCACCGCCTCCTGGAATGCGGCTTGGGCGTCCTGTTGACACCCCCTTCCTCGCCCCCCACCCGCGGGCCCCGCCGGGGGTAGACCGAGGGGGTCCACACTATTGGGTAAGCACTCAGTACAGGTTAAAGAGTTTTAGTCCGAGCAGTAGAAAATGGACACCACGCGTGCGACTGGTCATAAGCTAAGACTTAAGGATGCGTGACATTTCTGGACTAATAAAATACAAATATTTTTGTGTTCTCCTTTAAAAAGTTCAGTACCGTTTGAAACCGTTAAGACAAATAATCCAATGACGTTTTTGTCTCTGGTCGTCTGTTTCAAACATATCTCGCGTAGTAAACCATGATTTTTTCCACTCCGTCGTGACTCCCTCTCCCCCTCCTCTCGGTGCGCCTCGAAGGAATGCTTTGATTCTGTTGTCTCGCGCAGCCCGCTGCCGTCGGACCGCCGCGCCGCTTTGTTTGAGGACGTGCGCCCCTGCGCGCGCTCTGCACTCCACAAATAAAGCTGTTCAATGACTGAAACAAAAAGAAGGTTGACGCACGTTTTACACGCGTGGCAACCGTGTCATAAACGTACCCATGTCATTTACATGCGCGACAACCATACCAAAGTCGAAATTAAAGGGCACACTGTGAAACATATCTCAAATTTAATAAGTTATTAAAACAATTGAAAATTGTAATTTTCTTTAGTAAATTGTAGGTTGAGTAACACGAAATACCAGTTTTCAACAGTCACAGAAGTATCTGGCGTTATTTTTATACTGCATGCAACTTTTCTGTATACATCGTGGGTCTGGCAGAGCGGGCCTACAAAAAAGGAGTGCTCTACTATAGATTTGCCATTTGGTCGCACAGAGTGACTCACGTTGCAGCAGCAATAGTGCACAACTGGTGTCACAGCCACTGCCCGCGTGCCTTCGTGTGCGCTGGTAGAGCCCGTGAGGAGGTAAAGTACCCCCCTAGAGTGCAGCATAGTACCTGCAGCGAAACCAACGAGCGACACGTAACGACCGGCGCGGCACAAGCCTTTGAGGAATGAGGAGTGCATCTGAGTGCATGTGAGTGTCAGTGTGTGAGTGCATGTGAGCGTGAGCGTGTGTGTGTGTTTGCGTTTGCCGGCCGATTGTCAGAGTTATTTGGTCCGGCTGTCCGTCGTCTGTTGGGTTAGGAGTCCCCTCTACGACTTGTTTACCCTCGCCTTTTACGAAGCCGGCCGGTGTTTGGACAGGTCAGGGGGGGCTTGTGCACTGCGTGGTGCTGGTGTAATGCGTGGTGCTGGTGCACTGCTCGGTGCACTGCTCGGTGCCACTGCTCGGTGCACTGCTCGGTGCACTGCTCGGTGCACTGCTCGGTGCACTGCTCGGTGCACTGCTCGGTGCACTGCTCAGTGCACTGCTCAGTGCACTGCGTGGTGAATTCGGTGAATTGCGGTGCACTTCGCACAATAAGAAAGGGAGAATAATTACTCCCCGACGTCCCAAGGCTCGCAACGCGGCGTAATAAAAGTATCAATAAAAAGTGCAATTTTTCATTGCTGGCAGTGTAGCACGCACGCACGCACGCCCTATAACAGAGACGTTGATTGAGCGCCAGTGTCCATATCAAACGCGGCGCTGGCCGAGCGCTTTTATAATGGAGCTGCGTGGTGATTTTGGAACACACGACGCGCGTGGCCTCCCTCCTAATTTACACCGCACCTCTTCTCTCTCTCTCTCTCTCTCTCTCTCTCTCTCTCTCTCTCTCTCTCTCTCGTTCGCTCTCCTCTCGCTAATCAGCATTCAGTTGTTGTGACAGTGGCCCCGAACACATGTTGCGGTGTGTTGGTGGAGGCGGTGTTGGTCAAGGATCCGTTCGGCTCGCGCCTCGCTCGGCTCCAGCGGCGCCTATCGCTACCGTTCCGTTCCGTCCGATTGCTCGCTCGCTCGCCCAGACCGGCCAATCGATGCAATCATAATAACCGAACCATATATGAGTGGATCGAATAATCCCCGTGTTGTGCCGGAAGCTGCTGCTGCTGCTCGGTGTGGAGGATAGTCATCACGAGAAAGGCCTTTTCCGAACAGCTGCGGCTGAAGCGTCCAATCTCTGTACAGGATCCGATAGCAAGCCCGAGCGAACGCGGGACTAGCACCAGCGCGACGCAGAGTCTTGTTGGAGGACTTGTCTTCATCAACAAGCTTCCTTTTCGCGCGGAGGCCTGCCCCACCCCGCCCCGCCATTGTGCAAGGGGGCGGGGCCCGCCACGCCCTGCAAACAGCTCTACTAATTGTCCGCGGCCGCGGCCCACTGCAGCGTATAACGCATGTCGTCGACGCGTTGGGCGGGGCGGGGCGGGGCCCTCTGCGCGGCGCCTAATGGCGTGTCGCGCCTTGAATGGGCCGAGCGGTCCCGCGGAGCCGTAGCTGCGGCTGGGCCTGCATGGCGCCTGCTTCAAGCAGTGCTTGCAGAGCTTCGCTGAAGATGTTGTTCGAGCCGCACCGAAGGAGTCGTGTGTTAGTTCAGCAGAACCGTTCCTCGCAGAGAGTTCCGCGCTGCAGCCCAACAGACTGCTATAGCTGAATGCTAGTGGTCAGGCAGACCCATGACGATGACGTCGTGCAGTTGAAAAGGGCACCGCAGCGTTCTAAAGACATTATGCTGGCTTCGGCGGTGCAACAACAGCCAGCCAGCAGCCGCAGTTTGCCGGTCGGCGTGCGCGGCGGACAAGCAGCAGGAGAGATCTGTCGCTAATTTGGAATGACGGCGAGGTCCGCCGCACCGCGCCCGGTTCAAGGACCCGCGCCGCCACTTAAGGCCCAAGCCCACTCCGCGGTGCTCCGCGCGGGTACTGCCCGGCCGAGCCGCCGGTATGAGCGTCACGTTCCCTGCGGCCGCGGCGCGGGTTCGGTGGTTGGGTCCCAGGGCGGCGGCGGTGGCGGCCGCGGGACGGGACACTTTCCCGTGATGGAAAGCAAGTTGTGCGAGGAGGACACAGCCCTGCCCAAGATGTCCGACCGCACGCGGGCGCGCCCATCTCCGCTTCGAGCCACCGTCGTCCGGCCGGCCGAAGGCCCGGAGCCGACTTCGAGTCAAAACTCGTAATCGCCGTCGTTGTGGCCTTTCGGTGCGGCGGCGGGGCCGGCGGGTCTGGCGGGGCGTGGGCGGCTGACCGATATCCGAGAGGCGACCACGGCGACGACACGACGACGGCCTCCTGCGGCTGGGGCTGCCCTGCGGCCTGCGGCTAGCGCTGCTGAGAGAGAGAGAGAGGGGGAGAGAGAGAGAGAGAGAGAGGGAGAGAGAGAGAGAGAGAGAGAGGGAGAGAGAGAGAGAGAGAGAGAGAGAGAGAGAGAGGGAGAGAGACAGACAGACAGAGAGACAGAGAGACAGAGAGAGGATCGCCCTTCACTCAACAAACACGAACCGCAGGACACATCGTTCATAACGACCTCTGGATTAAACAAGCGCGAGGTGGTGCCCCCTTCCTCCCGCCCCCTACCCCCACCTTCCTCCCGGTGCGGCGTGCAGGCCGAGAATGCCGAGCTCAAGGTCCCCCCTCGGGCCGGGGCCGCCGCGCCGTCGGGGCGCTCCGCGCAGCTATCGTCTATCGCTTGGTGATTTGACACCGCGTCTGGCTCGCTGAAAGCGGTGGGGCGGCGACAGGGCAGCGCCAGCCTGCGCCCGAGCTCAGACCGAGCCGCCCGAGCCTTGCGCAAGTCGAACCAAATACAGTCGTGCGCGGCTCGGCTCGGCAAACGCGCGGAATAACAAAATCCGCACTGGAGTTGCTTTCCTAGCAACAGCTGTGTAGTACAAGTGCATGCGTATACTCTAGAAACCCAAGTGCCTACTTGAATGCGTACGTAACCTCCCGAATACCTACATGTATGCTTGCACGAGGTAGTGTGCACTCGAACAAGGATACACACCACACTACTCTTTACTGTAGAATACGCGGAAGAAAAGAAAACTGTGCTCGAGAGTAGCATCGGAGTTCAAAAAGTAGCTCGCAGTAAAGGTTTGAGCCTGACTCGCAAAATGGTTCAGCGGTCGGCGGGGTCGGGGCAACCGCAGCTGGGGCGTGGCGTGGCGTGGCGTGGCGTGGCGTGGCGTGGCGGGACGTAGGTCAGTGCCAGGCCTGTCAGTCGCGCGTCTGACTTATCTCGTTTGCCGCAACCCCGGCCGCCACGGGGGGGCTTCCAGTTGGGCCTTCCCTTCCAGCGGCGGGGGCGGGTCACGAGGTTAAGTACCTCAGCGCCGCACTGCGCGAGCGCCGCGCTAAATATTCCATTGTGGCGGCCGAATAAGTGCCGTGCGTCGCCCCGTTTTGTGATCCTGCTGCTCTTGACCGCAGAGCAGGCGCGCCTGGAACGCAAAGGCAAAGAGTAATTGATGACGGACAGGTGTAATTTTTTTTGTGTGTAGTACCGAGGATAGTAAAATAGGTGCAAAAAAGGCAACGCATATTTTTATATTTTTATCGCTTTGGACGCGTGGGGAAGGAACAAAATAAGATAAAGACTTGCGTGAGAACTTATTTTACCAGCCCCTGTGAGTCACCGAGTTGAACGAAAAGTTGCCATAGTGGAGACTTGCACGCACTGCAGGACGAGAGCTCCGCGCCTTATACCGGGGGAATGATTTCTTGAACTTCGTTTACGAAATCCGTTGCCCGTCGCTAAAGAACTTTCTTTGTCTTATGTTCACGAAAGTTCAACTAATTCGTGCAATTTCTTCGACCATATTTTCCCTTGCTCAGCGAGTACTCTAAACACGCTCAACAAACGACAAGCACTGGGGTGTACATTGGGAACAGTACTCTGCGTGACGGTCGGTACGGCCGCGAAATTGGGCACTTGTTGAAATGATGAGGAGGACTTGGGTGGGGGTAGAGTAGAGGGGGAGGGGGGAGAGGTGCCGAGTGATAGTAATAACACAAATCAAGTACGTGATGGAAGGGAACGATAATAATGAAAATAAGATAAAGCGAAAAATGTAAAAATAACATAACGAAGCGAATTGAGATGACGATAATGCCATTATGGTTGTGAATGGGATTTTTTTTTCATTCATTTTTTTTGTGGAGGTTCCGCCAAGATAAAAGAGTAATTGTTGTGAAAGAAGGCGAAAAAGTCGCGGGCGGACCTGAGGGAGAGGGGAAGGGAAGAGCAGCAGAAGGAGGGCGAGGGAGAGAGGGTGGGAGAAGAGGAACATAATTTACCGCGCCAAACTTGTTGTCGCTGCGGGCGCTCCCTCCCCCCTCCCTCTCCCTGCGTCCAGACCGGGCTTGGGCGCAGCGGCGCTGGGCCGCTGGCCTTCAGAGTCAGTCTCGAGGGACACCCGCCCGGCTCGGACCACCCGCGGGTCTCTCGTCCATTCATTTCACATCAGTCAGCTGGGCGCCGGGGCCTGACAAGGAGAGGGGGGGGAGGGGGGGCGGATCATGACGCAGCCGAGCCTGGCAGCCAACTTGAGCATCCTGGTGTATACACGCGGACCCTGAACGGCTAAAAATCTTCATCTGCCTTTCCCTTCTTCGCTCAAGTTGAACTGGTCTGATTGCCCCGTGTAGAGTAAGGAGACATCCGGCTGCCGAGGCTGCAGCAGCCGCGCCACTGGAGTCGGGCGGGCTGCCTCGCACCTCACAGGAGGGTGTCGCCGCGCCGCCGCGAGTGTCGACTGGTCGGTCGATGCAATGTCGAGATAACCGTGTGCCATCGGCGTTACGTCCAGGCGTGGCCTGGTGGTGTGGCGTACCGTGGCGGCGGCGGTGGGAAAGACGGGCACAAAAGGATGTGCACATTGCGCTCGTTGCGTCACACCGCGCTCCGTGTGGGCGGGGCCGAGCCGGGGCAAAAGTACCGCACCGAATCGCCCCCCCCCCCCCCCCCACCACCACCACACCCGCCTTCTTTTTCTTTTCCAACTTAATTGTTGGCCTCGAAATCGAAACATACACTCGCTTGCTGCTCCGGCTCGGACAGTGAACACACGAGACTTAACGGCGCGACTCCGAGTCGGGGCCCTCCTGGTCGCGATCCTCTCCGCCCTCCCCTCCTCTCCTCTTTTGCCTCCCCCGTGGGAGAGGGCCAGCGGCCGGACAAAGAGGAGCATCCCGTCGTCCCGCGGCACGGGGACGTTACCGACGGCCTGAGGTGCGCTGGGACCCCGCCAGCAGCACCGCCACACGCCCTTTTCCCTTTCATGCTTTCCCCGGCCACCGCTGCTGCCAGGGTGGAGCAGAGCAGGACGCATGGCTGTCTGTGTGACCTTTCGCTGGCCAGGGTGACCATAGAGACGAAGCGCGCGCGCGCGCTCCATTTCACCAGGAGCAGCAGCAGCAGCGGGCCTCGGCACCTGCGGGTCGGGCAGTGGCAGCTGCGGCAGCTGTGGGCAGCTGCTGACCCCCGCAGAGGGCCCGGCTGCCCGGCCGGCCCGACCGCACTGCCCAACGGGACCTACCGGCCCGCACGCCTGGACGCTCGCCTGCCCCCCCCTTTTCCCCCCTTCTCGTGCTACTACTTCTTCTATCGCCGTCCCGTCCGCTAGGAGGAAAGAAAATTCACGGACTTGGTCCACTGGGCTCCGAATTGGCACATTTACCATCAGCGACCGGGCCCTCGCTAAACGCTGGACCGGACCGCGGGCTCCGCCGGGCGATCACGTTATGACGGCTTACGGTACGGCCCCTGTAGCTGTCCTCGGCGTCACACCACCGTCGTTATCAATAGTGGAAATTTTCAAACAAAATTTGGAAAGTTGGTAAACGGTCATGCACTTATCTAAAATTTCAAAAATGTAAGAAAAATACTATTTTAAAAATACATTCGAAAGTTTTAGATTTTCGGATTTATGTTTTATTGCAGTGCCAAGTTTCCCCTCGAGAGCGTTCTGCTGGCCGGAAGCACCGCGCCTCGTTGGCTGGGCGCCTCGTGGCCGCCGGCTCAGCTCAGAGGCGGCGTCAGCCCGCCCGGGCGCCCTCGTCACCGTCGTGTCATGGCTCCAAATTGAAGCATGCCTCGAGTGTTTTGCGAAGGAGTCGCCGGTGGTGGTGGTGGATTCGAGAGAACGGCTAAGAAAACTCCTTTTTCTTGCCTCTTTTCCTGTGATCAGTTGTTTTATACGTGGCGGGCCCCTATTCTCCTGGGCCACCTGCCGCCCGTCGTGGAGGCGCGGCCGGGCTTCTGGCGGCCGCTTGGTGCTGCTGCTAATCTATCACGCAGCTGTTGCGAAGCTTAGCTGAAAATTACCCAATGTGACCAAAAGCGACGGCGTTTACCGGCATCCTCCCGCCCTCCTCCTCCTCCTACGCATTTCGCACTCACGATGAGGAGCCCTCTAAGGCAGGCTGCTCTGGTCGACTTGGGCAGACCAGCGTCATCATAGGGGGCCAGGCCACACATCGGCGACCCGACCCACCATCGAGACCTACCATCCAGCCGAGACCAATCCAGCCCAGGCTCTACAGTACGGCTCACGACTGACTCCGCCCGCCGCTGCGGCGGCAGAGCCCAACGAGACGTTATTGCAGAGCAGCTGCAAGGGGCTCAGCAGACCTGCAGTCTTAAGGTGCAGAGCTTATAGAGGCTCGCCTAGCGGTGTGGTTGCGCAAGGAACAGCTCGTTGTTGTGGTCTATAGCAGGCCTGCGGGTCCTGCGGGTCCTGCGGTCGCTGTTGTCCTGCGGCCGCCCGCACCGCGGGGCCAGGCCCGGCCCGGAGCAGGGGATCACCGCGGCAGCGAGCAGCGTCACGCAACCGGCTTAAACGCATTTCAGTCCCGCGCAGGCAGGAGCCGGAAATAAATAATAAAGGGAGATGATGGAAGCGCACCGCGCGGGTAACCAAACTCCGCCACTTGCCAGGGCGCCACGCACGCACCGTTACATGAATTTATTGGAGTACGTCACGTCACTAATCAGACGACTATAAAGTGATTTCATCAAATATTGAGTGTCAGGGGAGGGTGGTTAGGGTAAAAAGTGCCGAGCCTGTGCCCATGCTCGGAAAAGAAAATGTACTAAGTCGCAATTTTATTCCCCCAAAATAACTAACAAAAAAGTTAGCGATGAAACTAATTTTGTCATTTTTGCTCTCGGCAGGGATGTGCTGACCGTTGCTGGCCGCGGCGTTGACGCCGCTGACCGCTGAGATGTCGGCGTGGCTGGGCACGGCGGTGGGGGCGGCGCTGGCCGCGGTGCCGCTGTGCTGGACGCTGCTCGTGCTGCACCGGCGCCGCGCCGCCTGGCTGCCCCTCGACGTGCTGCTGGCCGCGCTGGCGTGGCAGGGCCTGGTGCAGCAGGCGGCCGCGCTGCTCTACTCGCTGCTGGCCATGTCGCTGCTCGGGCCGCTGCAATGGTGCTCGGCCGCCACCTGGCTGCTCGCCTCGGGCCAGACGCTGCAGGCCGGCACGCTCGTCACGCTGGCCGTCACGCGCCTGCTGCTGCTGCGCCGCGTCACGGCCGTCACGCGCACGCACCTCGTCTACCACCTCATCTCGCTGACGCTGCTCTCGGCGTGCGTGGGCATCACGGCCGTGCTGGCGCGCGGCGCGCACGCCGAGGCGCAGGCCCAGTGCGCCTTCCTGGCGCACGAGCTGGACCCGCGCTACGCCGTGCTGTCGCTGTCGCTGCACTCGGCCTTCCTGCTGGCCGCCGTGCTCGTGGCGGGCGTGTGTTGCTGCCTGCGCCGCCCAGGACCCGCGCCGCTGTGCCGCCTGGCGCAGGGGCTGGCGCAGGGCCTGGGGCCGCTGCCGCACCGCCGCCGCCAGCACAACCTCTTCACCTCCTCCTCGGACCTGTCCTCGGCGCTGTCTGACTTCTCGTCCGTGTCTGCCTCGGCCATGGGCACGCTCAGCCACCCGCAGGGCCCCGTCGCGAAGACCTTCTGGAACTACTGCACGGCGACGGGCACCACCACCGCGGCCCGCTCCAACCCGAGCACGCTGGGCAAGGACGACCCGCCCTCCATCACCTTCCTCAACGGGCTGCCACCGGGCTACCCGAGCGACACGCTGGAGAAGGCGCTGCAGGGCCCGTACAGCGCCGAGTCCACCCTGGGCCGGCCGGGCCCGCTGGGCGCGGCGCTGGGCAGCCCGCTGAGCGCGCTGCGCTCGCTGGACAACTCTCTGGAGCACAGGTAGGACAGCCCGGCGACATGCGGCCCGATTACCCGACGCTCGTTGAATCGGATTAAAACCGAGTCCTTTTTCGTCCCTCATTTCCGCTCATTCTGCCGATTCCAGGTACCGGGAGCTGTGCGGCGGCGAGTACAGCGACTCGACGCTCAACCGGGACTTCGGCCTGCGCGGCAACAACAACAACTGGACGTCAGACAACTCGTACATGTCGACCACCACGTCGCCGACCTCCACCAACAGCCGGGCGCCGTGCCTGGGCCGGCCGCCGCCGCTGCACCACCTGCAGCTGCCTTGCACGGTGCCGGAGGAGCAGGCCGAGGACGAGGCCGAGGCGCTGCGTCTGCCCACCGTCCTGGCCGTGCTGGCGCTCTGCTACGTCACCAACCACATCCCCATCCTGGTGAGTGAGCCCAAGCAGCCGGCGCGTCCGAGCGTGTCGGATCGACAGACCCACTTTGCAGCGTCGTCGTCCCCACCTTGCCCCTCTCCCAGATTCGGTGGACGTGCAGGGCGACGTCCTCGCGTCCTCCCGTGACGACGGGCGCCTTGAGCCTTGGTCGCGGGGCAGAACGGGCGCTGCGGGGCCGCGTCGCGGGGCGGTGGCGGCGGCGGCGGCGGATGGCTCGGCAACAGCGGTCGTGCAGCAAGGAATGCAATCACACATCCTCGCGAGCGCTAGCGGGCCGGGCCGGGCCGGGCCGCCTCCAGTGTGCCACTGGAGTGCGTGCGTGACAGCGGGCCGCGCTAACTGGAGCCGCCCCGCTACCCGCGCTGCGCACGCCCGCCCCGCCCCGCCCCGCCCGGGAATGGCGTTATTAGATTGTAGTTTATTGAATCCCTCCGGCGGCCGCTGGCAGCTGGCCCACGATATACCGTGCGCACCGCCACTAAACATTCAAACAGTCATTTCCGCACGTTTGGTCCAGTTTCAAAACAGTTCCTCGTTCGCTGTATACTTTCGCGTGCGTGAGCGCGAATAACGCATAGGGAAGTCTACCGCGTGGGCGAGCCGCTCGGCGAGCCGTAGGGAAGCGGGCGGGGATGTTAGTGACTCCTCGGCGCTCATTGTCTTCATCCGCCCGTGCCCTCTGCCTGCCTCTCTGTCGCTCCGATATCATCTCCTCGGCGGGCACTCGCCTCTCTCTCTCTCTCTCTCTCTCTCTCTCTCCCCTCGTCTTACTTGCTCGGCCGCTCGCACGCACGCGCGTGTCCGGTACGCTCCGCTGTTATTACGGCAGAGTGCCCATAGCGGGGCGCACCTGTACCGAGGCGAGGCGCGGCGGGGCGGGGCGGGGCGCGGCGGGAGCCTGATGAGCTCACATGCGTGCTCGGCCCCGATAACGCACGCATCCTCAGCCAAACGGTTCTGAGCCGGAGCATGAGCACGACGAGCATCGCCATCATCGCATCGCGAGCGGAAGCTGGCCGAGATGAGGATGATGTCTGAGTGTTACAGCAGTGAAAGTGTATCGGGGGTGAGCGAGAACGCCGGCCCGGGCCACGCGTGCTGTCACGGGCTCGTTTAGCATACGGCCCGGCCCGGTTTACGCGTCGTCGACATGTTATGTCTTCATCATTCCTGCTCACCATACACGCACACCATACTGATTTAGACTGCGACGTGCTGGCGGTGGAGACCATATGATGGCTCGGTAAAAACAATGTCTGATTTGTTGAGGGAAAGTGGAAAACTTTGAAAAACTCCTTTCGTTTGAAGTTAACTCCCCAGATTTCGAGAAAGAAAGTGCGGGATTTTTCCTGATTTTTTAAAAAGATTCCTTAAAATCTGAGGAGTTTTTCCGGTTTCCTAAAAAATATCAGGCATTGTTTTTTTACCGTGGGTACAGGGCACACTTTTCTGAATACAATAAAATGCTTCTCCCTGGCGTATAGGTTTCGCGCGCTTACCTAAGATCGGGGAAGGGCAGGGCGGTAGTAAAAGTGCAGGCATCGCCGTGCTCGTGGTTGAGGAAGGAGAGCGCGTCGCACGCCATATCGCCTGCCTGCGGAGGGCGTGCGTCATCCGCCGCATATGTCATGTGAGGATGGGTGACGTGCAGTAGTGGCAGCACACAGGATGCAGTG